CTGATCTAGCCACAGACATTAATGTGACCGTCTCAAATCAGGATTGTTCACCACAAACATCAGGAAAATATTGCTAAACGTCAAGCACGTCATGATTTCAAGTTCATTCACGCCAGCAGTTTGCAACTAAATCAAGTTGGCACTTTTCCCTACGGTGTGAGAGCTTGCTTTTATGTGCAAGAAGAAATGTAAACTTTATCTGTCACAATGAAAAGAAAAAAAACTGTTGTTGCTGTGCAGCGCGAGAGAACAGGTGGTTAGAAAGCTGGAGGAACGCCAGGCTCAGCGTCGCTCCTCCGGTGGCAGTTAGAAGGAAAACAGAAACCGCTGCTGCACAACTCTGTGATGCGACCGACCAAACATTCAGCATTTCCGACTTGGACACACCTCATCATAAATGCGTCTCGACATTGTACAGCATTCTCGTAAACGTCCCGACACATTCAAAAGGATGAAACTAGACGTGGACGCTGCTTCCTACAGGATAAATCTACACGTTTTGCTCACATCTCTTCCTTTAACAGCTACGAACCTCAAACACTATTCCCCACTACTCTAACCAGCACTCATTTATTTACCTTCTCATTCTATCACGTCACCCATTTGCCCTTCAACCACTCACTAACACTTCAAACACAGCAAAAGTATGGAGCCTCAAGTGTTAAATATTGAACAGATACAGAACAGTGCATGATGAGATTGGAAAATGATCCGAAAACACTGCGTAAAATATAGAAAACATGCACCAATAAACGGTAAAGTAATTCAAGAAATAACTACAAGGTCAGCCTTAATATTATAGGACGTCAATTCCTAGTTATCAAAGTTTTATTTGCTTTCATTATTGGGATGTTTACTTAACCCTCTGAACAACAGGCAGGTTTGTTTTTAAAAAAAATCAAAAATTACAGAATCTATCAGAGCAGGAAAGTACAAAAACAAATAAAAAATGGGATTTTCAACTTTCCAATGGCCCTTAAATCAAACTTGGGCGAACTTGAAGCTTCAAATCGTGATATCTCATCAGATTGACTGTATTCTCGTCTCCAACCAACAGTCTTGGGATAAAAACTCAAGGATGATTCCACTTAACTGGGCTGTTTAACGATAAAAAATATCTATGATATATAGAGCCACCATGTCTCTCCTGGTCTGGGTTCAGAGGGTTAAGCTAATCTTCAGTCTATTACCCGCCACAGGATTTATCTGCTTACCCCGTTTTAACTCGAGCAAAAACTTTGCTAAAGGAATTGTGACTGAACCGACTACAAGCTGGAAATAAACACCACCGCAGCCTTCTTTTATTTAGCTTATCAAGGCTGCACATGCTACCTGCTTAGCTCGCTAACGAGTAAAGTTAATTAGCAGCATTAGCTAGATCCCGTTGGTTCGACCCACCACAGACTGATCTTTAGCTCATCGGCTCGCTGGTTAGGCTGCACATGTACCCTGGTTAAACTATATTAAAGGTTAGTTAGTCTATAATCTGCTTAGAACAGCTAGTTCCCAATACTCTGACATTGTTTTGCTAAAGCTAACGAGCTAACCGGCTAAATTGTTGACTTTTCTTTGTGAATATTATAGTCAGTTTATTCAGTATTGATTTTATAATTACGCATTAATGTGTTCAATATCGAACACTTTCGCTCTCCACAGAAATTATTGTGACTGCTTATTGTTCCGGTTGTCAGTTGCCTGTTTACACATTTTTTCCATCAGTATAATTAGAAAATAGACATTCTGGTTTTAAAAAAAAAAAAAAAGTCACAGAAAATTAAAGTCTATTTCTTTTCTGTCATCGTCTTCCATAAATTAGGCGTCAACACTTGTTGAATTTGTACATGCACCGACACAACACCTGTAACCTCCTGCTCTTGGTGCAACATGCAAGTGACGACACGTCTCTTACGAACGAAATGGCAGATTGACGATTTGTGACTGCTTCTTATCTTTTGTCATGATTTGGAAACTCTCTGAATAAAATCGTTTTTTTACAAGCAGTGACCACGACACGTCTGATCAAACACAACACAGTAAAACAGAATATGTTACATATCAGTAAATACAGTTAAATGAATATCACCTTTTTTTGTTGTTGTTGTTTTTTTTTTGTAAAAACCATCACCCGAAGCCGAAACAGCCAAAAACAATAAATGAAGAGAATAACATGTATTAGAAAAGTGTTGATGCATGGTCAACTAAGCACAATGTTTTCATCCCCTTGATTTGTTTCCAGTTTGTAAAAACGAAATCAGGATGCGTAGAAACAACAATATATAGGCATTAAATAAATTAATCAATTTAAAAACAAACACAGTGATACATATTCAAAATACATATTTACAACCTAATAAAATGAAAAAAAAAACAAAAACAAAAAAACACAGTCTTGTCCTTAAGGGAAATGTTACTTGTTTGAATGAATTTAATTGACTGTTAACATCACTTGCTGAATACCTTCACACAGCGTCTGCCTCTTCATCACCTACTTCATCTGGTTAGAATTATGTACTCACCATAAATACGGATGTACTGTAGCAGGCTTATACTTTTGCAGCATTTACTAAGTTGATATGTACTTGGTACATGGAAATCCAAATTTGACATCATTTGTGACTGATATGTTGATATATTATGTGCCAATGGCTACAGAGGAAAAAGCTGAGCTAAGCCAAACGTATAATCTGCCTCGCAACGAAGTCCAAGGAGCTGTGCCACATGGAAGGAGACGAATAAGCAGGAAAAGGAAAACAAAAAGGGCAAAGCACGGCCAGTTTTCTAACGCTGACGGTGAACACCCTAACTTGAAATGTTTTAACTTAAGCATCTAAAACGGTTGGATTTTTGTTAAACTACTACTTTCAAACTACAAACTACCACACCGCTGCTAATGTGAGGCCAACTAAGAAAACAAAAAAGTCACCTGGTCACATACATCTAACTTCACAAGCTGCTATTCAAAACACACTTCAAATAAAAAGAAAAGCGCATGGCCCCGGTCCTCCCTCGCTCGTATTTTGTACAACAGTGCGAAGATCTGCAAAGAAAAAGCTTTTGGTTTGGAGAATGACCAAAGCTCTTCATGGGAATCGGTGGGTGGCAATCCAACATGGGTGGCCAATAATCGCATCCCTTTAACAGTGGGAAAGACCATTACCCGCAGGTCATAGCAGTAAGTACAACTGCCTCCTTTTGCCTGACAAAAAGCTGTGGTTCAGCTCTGTGATGGATGCAGCGGTCCCGCTTTGTGTCCATCAGGCTAAAGCTAGAGGAGGGCAGCCACCGCTTCACTTGGGGTCTGGCCGAGTGTGGACGCGTCTGGACACTGAGGAAAAACCCTCCCAGAAATACTTTGACACTGTTGTGTAGAATCTGTCTGAAGAGACCAGTGCATATATCAAGATGTTTCTAGTTTTCTCTGAGCCCGACCCCCAGAAACCAGATTTACATGTCAGAGAGTGATGGAGGCTCGTCAGGAACAGGAATGAGCTTCTCCCTGTAAATTTAGTGCAATTCTACAAAAAGACTGAGTTCAGAAGAAGCCCTTTGTCTTTAGTTGTACAGGGCAGAACACTGGTGGATTATTGTGGAAAAATAGCAGAAACAATTAGTTAGCTTAGCATTACTCATATTTGCTAATTTGTGCTAAACAAAAAGTCGAGCGGAGGTTGATGGGAATGTCTTCGTTTTTCATTAAATGAAAAGTAAGAGGAGTCACCGAAGTTATTACAATTCATCCTGAGGGAGCCGCGAGGCTCAAATTTCATGGCGATCCATCGGAGATATTTCACTCCAAAGGCTGAAAGTCGGGGATTTGCCAGCGTCATCAGGGTTCATCCCCTGGCGACCATGAACATGTGAACCAATTCTCCTGTACGTGTTGACATATTCCAGTTTGGTGGACAGTGGATGGTTAAAACCTGAAGAGCAGGCTGATAGAAAAACAGTGTTAAAGTATTTAAGAGCGGACTGTTCCTTTAACAGTACTACAAAAGGTTTGATCTGGCCTTGATTGATTGGATGCAAAGAAGGTGTCCAGTGTTTGCAGACCTCGCCGTACAATCGCAGGCGTTAAAGGAATATTTAAAGTTAAGACTTTGCTTGCACAAGAGCAGAACATAAGGTGTACAGTATAGTTGGTCAAACAAAGTTTTTCCCCAGTTTCAAACAATTAACGAGCACTTTTTTTCTTTTTTTTTGTCTTTCCTGAAATGGCACACTTTCAGTTCCTCCTATCCGGTGCCACCCCATCCAGCACATGCAAACTGGACTCAAGAACACAAGGATCTTGTCGAACACCCTGACTTGTCACAATTAAAGAGCTGATTTCTTTAGATTGGGTGGTTTGTTGGGAGGATATGTTACAGTGCAGAGTTTTCCTACAGACATAAATGCATAGGGTACAAATCAGTCCAACACTACCATATAACGTCGAGCAATACAAAAGAAAACAAAACAACAGATCACGAAAACTGTGATCGAAATCAAAGTCTTGCTCATTGGCACTGGGGTGGGAGTGGAGCGTGGTGGTGGTGAGGGGGAGGGAGCAGGGCGGCTTCACTAACTAGTCGTAGATTTCTATGCGGTTGCCTGGTGTTTGTTGGACCCTACAGCTCTGAGGACAACACAGACAGGTGCGGAAACGGACCACGGACATCCTGCACACGCCAAACACTCAAGTCCTCAGCAGATTTCTGGATAAACGTAGCGTCGCTCTCCTGAAAAGCGAGAGCCGATTCGATTGAGCTTCACGCGCGACAATCTCTCACAGTTCTGAAAGAAAATTTCGGGGTAAACACAAAGTCTTGCTAAGGCTTCGTCGCGGGGAGTAAAGATACACAGTGTTCAAAAGAGCAATTATTATAGTTTAGTTTCAACAGTCTTGCTAGCTATTGTGTTGGTGCATGGCGGGAATGGCATAGTCAGCAGGTTATGAGCCGTCGTGTGCATTAGAGATCATCGTCACAATCTGCGTTATGTACAGTTTATTAAAGGATGTCTTTTATTGTCGTATTTTCTACCATCCGGCACTTTGATCTTGTTTTTTGTCCCCCTAGAGGCATTTATGTGTCGTTCATTCAGAGACAAACCACATGATGGTCAGTTATTATCTGTGCAACAAATGAAATGGCAACAACAGGGTTATATATATGTATATATGTATTATTTTAAGTTTAGTGGTCTTCTTTTAACACGATAGCTTCACACATCCGACATATTCTAGTTCAGAGTTTGTTTTTCGTGTCAATTTGTTCACAGAGAAAAGTTTCAGATTAGACAAAAATTAGGGCGACAGTTTGCACATACAGTGGAAGGTCAGAGTGTCTCAGTGGAGCACAAACTGCAGGTCAATATATTATTTCAACTATAGTTTATTTGTTTTTAATAATATATATATATTATTTGTGTATTTACATCTCTAACCAGCTCATACAAAAGACGTCCAGGCTAACTGGTCCCCGTGATAAACCTACGGACATGAACACCTGTTAGAGCTTCTAAATATGTTTTCTAAATAACTCTTGACTATTAGCTAAAGGCAAATATTGGCTTTTTTTTTCTCTCTATGAAAATCAACATTAAATTTCTCCCACTAAAATAGTTTTGCTCTTGAAACACGATATAATCATCTATGTGAGAGTCAAAGGACTCCACGTGGACCCTCCGTCCTGTTTCCTCAACTATAATTATTAACTATATGAGATTTAAAGTAGACATTTGGGGAACTTTTTTTTTTAGATGAAAAAATAAATATGAAGCAGTGTGTTTGAATAAAGACTAGAAAGAGGGGCGACGGGATCCATACATCCATCAGTCGCACCGGTTTCATCCTGCAGAAGGTCACATTGAGGCCAAATGGGAAACACCAGTGAACCTTTGGTGCACGTTTTGGGGATTTTGGGAGGAAGCCACAGAATCTCTACAGGATCTCATTAATGCACAAAGAGAGACTGCGCTCGACTACGCTTTCACCCCAGTCTCCAGTCTTTATGCTAACGCTAGCCTTCCGCTAACAGACTGACACGAGTGTCAGGACTGTTCCTTTCACATTAAAAGCACGGCCGGACGTCTGAACGAGCTCCGTCACAGGAATGACTCGGAGAAATACGTGTCAGATTTAATTAGCTGAATCTCTTTATTCTACATGTTTAATAACTTCAGATGCAGCTTTTAAAATAGTTTGATAATGTAAAACACCTATTTACATGGTTTAGTTTCATGTCCAGATAGTCGTTTAATAGTTTGCAGATGATTAGTTTGGATATTTTGGCTATTTTGCACGTTCAAGGTGAGTGAAAAAGAAGAGACACTGAAGCACTATTGGATTTTGTTAGTCGTAGTTATGTGTCACTGTACACATCTTAATGAGCTTTTTTTTTTTTTCAGAATTTCTGAAAACACAAAACTTTGCCGTTTCATTCTGCTGTTCAGTGTGGAGGCAGGGTTGAGAGTTCCTGCTTCCTCACACGTGGATGTTGTTTAGAATTGGACAACCTTGACTGACACACACACACACACACACACACACACACACACACACACACACGGATGCTTGCATAAACACAGTATCACAGACGACACTCATTCTGAACTGACCCACTCTGAATCGAGGGTAGACTTTGGCTCTCTCTCTCTCTCTTCACACACAAACTGTCGGTCCGTCTCCACATTTCTTCTCGTAATGTCTTTTTTCCTCCCACCTCCCCTCAGCTCGGGAAGATGCTGCATCGCTACGATCTGATTGGTTGCTTTGTAGGTGGCTGACTGTGGGGGTGGGGGTGGTGGGGGGGTGGGTGAGTGTGTGTGTGTGAGAGGGGTGAGGCGGGGGAGTGACGGGGTCGGTCAGGAATGGGTGGTCGGTTGATTGGAGTGCCAGGAGTGAAGAAATCAAGGTGCAAAGATCAGGAGTGGCCACAGTGACTTCACACTTTCTTAGGGGGCGGGGCCAGTTTGATGATCTCATCTTCAGAGGGCTGGCGGATGATGTCTTTGTGGGGTTTTTTGTTTGTTTTGTTGCCCCAGGGGTGGATTTGGGGTGGGGGAGAGAGAGAGAGACAGAAAGAGAGATATCATAAGAAACAACCAACAAGCAAAGGCCAGAATGTAAAACCCATTTTAGCTTCTTTGGCTATTCAAAGTCTATTTATTATGTAAACAGCTCAAAATATCTGGTGTTAAAGAAAGTTAGAACCCATAAAAAAAAATAATCAAACCCCACTTTTGACAGGTTTAATGGTCACATGGCTAAACCCATCAGTGTTTAGCCCACATGTATAATAAACGTTTTATTGGTTCATTCTTCTGCAACCTTCCCTCCAGCTTCAACTGGTGAAGCAGTCGAAATGAAAAGTAGTATTTGAAACAAAAACAAGTGATTTTGGGCCTTTTTTCTGTGAGTGGTCAGTTTAATCCTGTGAACACCACATGCTAGTTTGAAAGGCTTGTGCACAGCCAGAAGGTTTCTTTTTGTATCAGACAATGAGTATTTTTTAGGAGGCGAGCCAAAGACACCATGAACCGTGATGAGGAGGCATCCATGCCGTCCCACACATGGGACCGCATGGACATGAGACCACCTAGCAGCAGGAGGTGAGGCCCGTCGGGCAAATCTGACAGGTTGTCAGGCGGGTCACGCCTCCAGGAAACCATCAGCTGGTAAAGACACGTCACCACAGACGTCAGATGATGTTTCTGAGGAAGCCTGAAGTCGAAACATGTCAAAGGTAAAAACAGCTCCTATCTGAAAATAGTCGCTGTCTGATAAAAAAAAAACCTTATAATCAAAATGAACCTAATCACGCTTGTGCACAGCTATCACAGCCTGAAAGTGTGAACATAACATTCCTTGAACTACTCGTTTGTCATGTGCTTTTAGGAAACCTTTGGGAAATTAATCAAAAATTTCATCAAAATCATGTCTCATTTAAACATTTAAAAAAAAACCTACCATTTGCAGCAACCATACTCTGTTAAAAATAATAATAATTTGTCAGTTCAATCAGAAAGACATTTGGGACTCAGCTGTGACCAACAATCACTTTTTGGCAGCCTGCTGGTTGTGTTTGCACAGAGCAGGTATTAGTTAAAGTACAGAAACAATTTAAAAGTCTACACAGTAAAACATCTATCGTATGTACAGCCGCAATCTTTGTCAGAAGACTGCTGCACGTGTTGATCCCAGATGTTTTTCTTTTTCCAATTATTCACGGCATCATAAACACACATTTTGAATTCTCCTTCCTTCGAGTCGTGGTCGTGTTGTTTCCAAAAACGAGCCCACAGCCAGTAAAACAGAAGCAGAAAACTCCCAGAAGCTGCTCAGGATTCAGTCGGTTCACGTTTTGCATTGAGTAACTACATGAGAAGGTGCAAATTGCAGGAAAAGGGCGACATATTTCCACCTCCTCAGCATGTTGACTGTTTGTATTTGTCAAATGTGCAGGTCCCCAGTACGCAAAACACAAACTTTCTTCCAATTTCTTCTTTTTTGTCTGATAAAATCATCCACTGTCACAGTATCAGTGTGACAGGAGTCTTTTTCTCAGATTGGCTATGATGTCGTGTGCTTGTATTTACACTTTGTGGTCTTTGGATTCATAATTATGATATCCATGAAGTGCTTCTCATGCGCTCAAAGTGCTCTCCAGAGTTGGAAAGATAAAACGCAAGGACGGCACACGAGCAGCGTTAAAACAGCAGCAGGAGACAAACAAAGCAGCACATATTAATACGATGTCGTAGAATAAAGGCATCACTGAGTAAAAGGAAAGTGTTGTTTCAGACTGTGTTCCATAAAGGTTAGAGATAGAGCGAGCAGTGAGGACAAGAAGTGGCTGAGCTCAGAGTTAAACAAGCTTTTAATGACTTCTAATCGCAGAGGAATCGATGGTTTTTAGTTGCCCACCGCTGCTGTGTTTTATGTCGCACTAACTCGACTGAAGCTGAATTTCCCCTGTGAGCCAAACTGAGCTGCAAACAGAGCAGAGAAGGAGAAGGAGCATTTTATTGGCCTTTCGCTTAAAACTCGTCTGCCTCTGGTCACGTTCTTGATTATTTCAGACAATCAGATTAACCTCCTCAGTGTTTAGAACGCATACTGAAAGTCAACTTTCTACATTTAGAAGAATTAGGGGATGAAGGAATAAATCAGTAGCGACGAGATCCTCATCAGTATTTTAACTCTCACATGTTGATACTGGCCTCAGACTCCAGGCTTTAGTGGTGATGTCATTAAAGACTGGGAAATTACAGCTGTAGAGTTTTATTCATGTAAAGCAATAAACCCAAAAACCTAATTTGCACCCTTTTGTAAATGCAGAACATCTAAATATTGCATTGAATGAGTCCTGACGGGTCGTTTTTTGTTTCGCCACTAGAGGGCAACACTTGACTGGATCTGACAGACCAGGAGGCCGATCAAAGCAACGTCTTTAAGGTGTTCGTGACCATAAATTTAACCCTGTGTGTTCTACGCAGAGTGCGGTACCTTTGTACTTCTTGGCCGAGGGGATGCGCGTGAGCTTGGTGTCGATCTCGTCGTCCTCAGAAATCTTGAGAACGGTGGTGCGGTACTCGATGACCCTCGTCAGCAGGTCCGGTCGCCGTGAGATCTCAAAGATGTGCTCGATGTATGACAGGTTATCTGCATGGGAGGTGGTGTTGTGACTTTGAGCTCATTTTAAGAAGGGACACAGCAAAAATAAAAGAGAAAGCGTAACCTGTGTGACCTAATGAGCGCCTCTCACCCTGAGCCAGCTTGTCGTTCTTCTCCAGGTAGCTGAACCACTCCTTGGAGGAGGTGATGTTGTTGCTCTGGTCCTCAGGGATGTCTTCCTTGCAGGCCGACTTGAGCTGCTCCAAGTCCTCGTTGGTGATGTTTTCAGACAGGTCGCTGAGCAGAGAGCTGTACTCCGCCATGGTCTGTTCACAGGCACAGAAGAGAAATCGGTTAGATAGGCGGAATACAAATTATGTTTAACAAGACATCAGAGCGAGGTAACAGAAGCTACAGGGGAGGAGGAGGAGGAGAGGACGGCGACTGAAACCGTCCTAATGTTGTTAAATTGCTCCGAGTGCAGCAGCCCACCTACTTCCCAGACTCCACGACGGAAAACAGGCAGAAAATGTGAGCTAATGACCAAAGCATACCGTCAGAGTGGGATGGAGCAGAGAGCTAAACTTCTCCTGTTGGAAGTAAATTTGTTGGCAGGTTTTGTTTTTAACAGAAAGCTAAAAAAAAGAGAGATTGACTGCAGGGACATAACAAGACAAAATAGGACGTAGCACTGGCTTGAACCTTGAAGCTTGTGAACCCCGCCGGCGCTACAGTTACACCATGTATCACAGCAAGACATGCTACAGGGAGACTTTCTGTATTTTCATATTTCCATTGGTCCCTGTACGAACAGGAAAATGTTCAGAGTTCTGACAGATTCTATCCGGCTGACTCCAATCAGTCACACAGCTGTTGTTTATAGTCGTATTCATTTTGCTAAATCTGATAGAATAAGAGACTAATAATCTAGAAATCCTTATTGTCAACAACTGCCATCACAAAACCAAACTGATTCATTCTGAATCTAAACGAGGCTGCGCTGTTGTCCAAATACAATTAAAACACACATCAGTGAGTAACATTTTTGCAGTGGGTAGCATGTTCTCTCAACACATGGGCATTGTGATTCATTCTGGATCGATCCCACGTGCAACATCTTGCTGCTGTGAATATTCACTAGGTTGCCAAATTATATGCATATGTACTCCTGTTTGAGTAACATGAGATAAAAACTGCCAGCTGTTTCAAGAAACATCTTTAAAGAAAAAACACGGCAGGGAAGTAGGAAAGTACTGAGAGACGTGTTTAAGGAAGCTGGATTTCTACTTTTGATGAAATGTGTGCACATGTGGATAAATATAGAATAACACCAGTGTTCTCTACTGTCCACATATATCAGGAAGTATCCTGCAAAAGGACTCCGGCAGTCAAATGTGTGCAAAAGAGAGAAAAGACTCAGTAATTAGCTGCTTTTCATCAAATCAGTTGTGCAAACTTCCACAGCTCTCTGTCTCCCTCTGCTGAAACCACAGAGGAAAACTGTTTCTGAGCAAAAATGGTGTCTTTTTAATCACCCATGTTTACATTATTGATCAGCTTTATCCTCACCAACACGTTTTTATTTGAAGCCTCTGAACTCTGGGTCAGCTACATTTTCAAAAGTCGCTGTTTTAGAAGTAATAAAAAGTAGTTTGGATGTGAAGAATAGAGGGAGTTATGCATTTTAAAATGAAAACCAATGAGAGCGGAGGCAGCCTCGGTTTACAGGACCACAGAGGGAGGTTTTAGTGCCACAACAATGCCTGGTCTAGCTCTTAAAAATGAAAACACTTCCACACAGAGAGGTGTTCAGGAACCCTGCTGTGTTTTAACCCATCTGAACCCCAAAACCTGCTCGTGGCTTTCAAACAGAATGAAATTAATTTTTTAAAAATCCAAATTCACATCATTTATCAGTGAGAGTCCTTAAACCACTCGTCTGGGATGAGCTGTTGGGTCACAAACCTTATCTAACCGATTAAATCTATTAAAATCACTTCATCTTTCAGGTCTCATTTAAAATCTCACCACAAACAAAAGAAGATTCTGTAAAAACAAAGCGGCCTGCGCTGCTCGGCCCAACCGGGACGGGATGACTGACTCAGCCATGCCCGGCAGTCATGTTACAAAAATGTTTCGGCTGAACTGCAGAGCAAAGAGGAAGCAAGAACAGAAACAAACTCAAAACGTACGAAGTCAAATAGAAAGTATGCAGAGCCACGATTTCCTCCTGCACCCGGAGCTGTTGGTAAATGTTGACTCCGTGTTTTTACATTTTCTTAACTTGTATTTATTACTTTTCAAGCTTTTTTGCATTTTCTGTTTGTCATGTTGCACAAAAGACATTTTCTGAGTTCTCTGTACTTCCTGCCACGGCTGTGCTGTTTCCATAGAGGTGCAGGACTTTACACTGCGGTGAGAAATGCGCCCACGGTGAGTAGAAACGTGCCAGGAGCAAATATTCCCAGAAACAGCTCCGAGTTCAAAAGTTTAAGTAGTCGGCACCGCGCGCAGGATATTCAGCAACCAAATGTGTGACTTAGAGTTTAGCTAGCTGGGATCATTTTATATGAACAGTTTGTGCACTTTCAGACCTGAAAAATAGGAAATATTCACGTCATACACATATTTAGAATTCGGTCAGTCGTGGAAAACGTCCAAAGATATTCCTGCAACTCACTGTGGAGCAAAATCAGAGCTTTTTGATGTGCAACAACATACAATAGATGTATAATAATGTATATTTAGTGCATATACTCGTTTATATTTTTGCATATTCAGAACACACGCTCAAACTAGCATCGTCCCCAAAGATCAAAACATTCAAACTCAATCCTTTGCTCTACATCATCTGTGACCACGGATCACGTCTTCGTTTCCCCTCAGCACAGTTTGAAAGACAAACAAAAAGCCTTTAACCGTGCAGGCTGAGTGTTCAGACCTGAACGGGGAGCAGCGGTTGAAAGATTCAGCGCACAGGCATGCAGTGGTTAAAGATCAGGCTGTTGTCAAGACTCTCCGCACAAAGATGGAGCGCTGGTCTGTGTGTGTGTGTGTGTGTGTGTGTGTGAGAGTGTGTAGGAGTGTGTGTGTGTTGGCATGAGGGTCGCTGTTCAGAAGTAGGCAGCCAATGAGGAAAAAAAAAAAGAAAACCCAGAGTGAAACAGAGACAGAAAAACAGACACAGTGATTCAGACATGTTGTGAAGCCGTCTGCTCGGCTCAGCTGTGTCAGTTTAGAAGAAGCAGAGAAGATGCATCACGACGCAGGTTTTCACAGCTCGTATCTTGGTTATTAAAATATTTGGGTCAAGCTACTGAAACGGGCTTTTATGTGTTTGCATTGCTGCAGAGACGAGCGTGAAGCGTTTGGAGGAAACAACTGCTCGGATTGTGATTATAGATCCACCACTGAGCTGGTTTTCTTGGCGCCCTGTGGGTCCAACACGAGAATTTTAAATATTTCCCCCACATTTGACGGAATAAGCAGTTTTGTGCTGCAGCTACTAATTTATTTATATCAATTTGCTGATTCATTATTTAATTATTTAATTAATTAATTAATTACTTCGTCTAAGGAATGGTAAAAGATAGCGCAAAAGGCCCACACAACTTGTTGTTGAAGGCGACAAACGTCTCGTTCATTGGAACCAACAGTCCACAACCCAAAGCTACTCAGATTACCATCGATTTTTTTTTTAAAAAGAAGCACTTTTTAAATCGAGTTTTTGGCACTTTTCTCACCATTTGGCATCAAAGTTTGACCAAAGCAGCAGATCATTCTTCTACCGACTGACTAAGAGACTGGTCGGCAGGTATTTATTTGGTACGACTAGTTATGAAACGATGCGGTGACAGAAGCCAGAAGGGTAAAAGTTGTTAGGAAGAGGGTCTGAGACAATGGGATGTGATGGTTCCAACCAATCAAATGCTCGCCTCAGGATTTCCAGAGTGGTGGTGAGAGTTTCGCAGCCCTTCGTGAGTTTAACGAGGCAGCAGATTAGCTTTGTGGAGATGATTAAGGTCACCAAAAAACAGCTGCACATGAGCTCGTTGGCGTCCTGCTCGGGGACACTTCAGCAGCGACAGTTTGCAGCAGATCCCTTCCATCCATCCCGCACAAGCGTCCTTGGACATAAACGTGCTTTTAAACCTTTACTGTTCATTTGATCTCTTTGTCTGTCACATGCAGCAGCCCAACACCCCCCCCCTCGCTCTCTGGCATCCATGCAGCTGGCGAGAAGCTGCCGCTCTGTGCAGTGCATCATGGGCACTGGCACGAAGCTCCGTCTGCCTCTGATCCCCTCAGTCTCATCACAGATAAACACGCCGTACAGAAAGCCCAGAAGAGCTCAGCGATGAGTGCTGTGACCTATATAACGGCGCCGCTGCTGCCTGCTGCTGCCACCAGAGGGCCCCTATTCACTGTGGAGCCTCAGACACTGTAGCACCAGCATCCCCCTGTGCAGCCACACTATCGCCACTTAATCGTCTTTGCTCTCTCACAGGGGCATATGGATGGGATGCTTTATAGCTCAGACTTTGAGCTTGTGATCATTCCTCCCTGAAAAGATGACAGACAACAGTAATGGGGGGAAAAATAAAAAACTTCCACTTATTCATTCATAAATCTAGTTACTTTTGAATAAAAATTAAATGCTGTGACTGGATGAACAGGTGCTGCACTGATAAAGAGTGAGGGATTCTTTACATCAGCGTGTGACGTGCAGGACGTGACGGCTAACGTGACGGCTAACGTGACGGCTAACGTGAGCGTCCCACAGGCTGATTTAAGGTCAGATTTGTTTGTCTGTGCTCTAATGGCTAATGGTGGCATTTGGCTTGGTTTGTCTGAACCACGATCTCAGCCTCGGGGCGAGAGCACAACGATGACAGAGCGCTTTTACTACATGCGCGCGTGTGTGTGTGTGTGTGTGTGTGTGAGAGAGTGTGTGTTATTTCAGTCTTAAATGTCACATTCATCTCCTCTCCAACCAGAACAACTTGCTCAATCAACACAAAGCTGTGCGTGGGAGAGAGCAGGGATGTGCACCTTAACGCCACCCAATACAACCAGGGTCTGTGTGTGTGTGTGTGTGTGTGTGTGTGTGTGTGTGTGTGTGTGTGTGTGTGTGTGTGTGTCCAACTGCAGGTTTGTGAATTGTGTGCACGTTTGCATGTGTGTGTGCTCATACGTGTCGAATCATGAGCTTGTGAATTGTGTCTATCACGTAGAGAAGCTGATTGAAAGAATGAGTGTGTGTGTGTGTGTGTGTGTGTGTGTGTGTGCGTGTGTGTGTGTGTGTGTGCGTGAGCCTCCTCTCTCG